AGTGATGAAGTTACAGCATTTACCTGGACAAAGCTGCCCTTTTTACCTAGCGCCAGAATGTAGTCCATTAACTTTGGGCGTGAGAGGCTTGCCAAGCAAGTTAAAAATGCAAACCAGCTGAAACGCTCCTGATAGTGTGTGAGGCTAGCCTGCTCTGCATCTAGGTCCGACCGACCCTCCCGTTCTCCCTGGTTGCCCTCCCTCCTGCGTCCTTTGAAGTGTGAGCCTCACAGAGTTCCGGTCTGCTGGGTTTAAGAATGCTCAAAGCCCAGCCAGGCCCACTTAAGTTTCCAGTTGATCCCCTTCCCTCCATTTGAAGTTGACTGTTAAATAATCCAAATTACACCCTGAAAAGTCACTGTTTTCTCACCAGTGTCTTGAAACCTCATGGTTTGAGTTACAGGAATGTGCTGGCCCAGCTCCAAGCCAGTGGGGCTGGACTGGTTAAATGGCCCTCAACTGTCTGAAGGGGACTTTCACAGAGCGGCCGGTCCATCTGCTGTAGAGGAAGCAGTGTGATTTCTTTCTAGCGGAAGTCTTTTTGTTGCTTTAATATGGCCAGCAGGAAGGCCATGAACACAATGCCAAAGCCAGTGTAGTTGTTTCCAGATGACGTCCCTCCTAACCCCCACACTGCAGGTACAATGGACAAACAGTCCAAAGATATTCTGTTTAAGAAATGGCATCCCAGCTTATCCTGCTTCAGGCGTTCCCCAGAACACCCACTAGCGTCTTTCAAGGTAACCCTATTAGGAAATGACGTGCTGTCGTACACGAAGCCCCAAGGACTGTGGTCCCGTGACAACAGAGAGCTGCCATCACTATGCGCTGCGCTCCAGCTGACCCAGAAGCACAATGCTGGGACTAGATAAATATCAGTTAATAAAAACTCAGAGGAAGGCCAAACTCCTCTTCCCCACAAATCAATCACTGGGAAATAAAAGCAATGGCAGTGGGTGGGAGGGGAAGGTGACACTGAATCTCATCTTTCATGCCTCAGAGGAAACTGCCCTTAGCTGATGAGAATTGAAGAATTTACAAAATTAAAAATCAGCACAGCACCAAATGTTAAGAATGTATTTTCACTGCTGGTGACCTCACATACCTCACAAGAGACCCAGAGTTGTGCTTTGCGAAGTGCCAGGTCTGTGAATGCAGGACCCTTAACTGCCTTTTTACTAGTGGTACTCAACCAGCAGAGCTCCAGTGACCCAGGCCGCAGGGAGGTGCTTTATTAACTTAGAGGCAGTCTCTTGCCCAAAAGCAGTTAGGATCCATCAGCAGCTTCTGGGGACAAAGTTGCCACGGTCCAGCTTCTTCTGTGTAATTTAGAGCCTGTAGAACCCAAAGATAGGTCAGCTCTAAGTTGGTCCTGAATTGGCAGGAGTGAATAAATTCATGACTCAATAAGCAATCTCCTCCCATTGTAATTTTACAGCCTCAGAAAACCAGCAGGATGGCTGCTGCCTTGGAACTGATTCAGACAGAGAGAGACAGAGAGACGGCGCGTGTGTGTTCCTGCACACTCAAGATCAACAGGTATAGAGCACTCCTCATCCTGTGTGCCCCCGTCATCTGGCTGCTGCTGTCTTGGGACTCTCTCTCTCTCTCTGTGTCTGTGTGTGTGTTCCTGCACACTCAAGATCAACAGGTATAGAGCACTCCTCATCCTGTGTGCCCCCCCGTCACCTGGCTGCACTAATCAGAGATGACAGCAGTAGCTGAATGCTCCTCTTTTACATGCTGTCTAGGCTCAACTACATTCTCTGAGCTCACCCTTAAAAGCCTCAAATGGCTGTGATGAATTATAGATCAACTGCCTACGGACTGTCTTAACTTCTTAACGCAGTCAGCCATGCCCGTTCCCACTTGCCTCTAAATGGCCTGCAGAGCCAGGAGGAATGGGCAGAGGCAAGAGCATGACTTCACTGATAACTTGGAATTTCTGGTGGGTTTGAGACGTTTAGAAGAAATGGTGGGAGACTAGGATTTCTTTTTATTATTCTTTCCAAGTGCAGCTGGGCACCTGTCACAGCTTTCCACAGGGACTGTACCCTCCGCTCACGTCAGAGATGACCTAATCCCAGTGCCCCCACCCAGGAAGGAGGAACCTCTGCTACCTGTGGTCGGCAAGGAGGAGCAGAGCTTAACACAGAGTGTGGTAACCTAGCAAGACACTTCATTTTCTAAATCTCATGTCCTCATTTGTTTTTTCCTCAGCTTAAAACGGAAATGAGTTTTAAACATGGCAAGTGAAACTAATTGTCAGACCAGTCTCCAAAGTGCTGATGACCACAGGTTTAGCCAGAAACCACAAATCACATACAACTGGCCGTAAACAGCTCGTCTAGCTTCCGTGACAGAGGCCTTGATGCCTGTTTCCTGGCAAAGCAGGATGAAGTATGTGAGACATCCACACTGCATTTCCAGGCCTTGACCACAAAATGCAACGAGGCATACAAACACTAAAATTAGGCATCAGCTTTGGAGGAAAGCAAGCACTAGGTTTTCACAGGAAAGTCAGTTTCACGCCACAACAAACTCACTGCTGTCAACTCACAGCTGACCCTCCACTGGGGGTCAGGGACTCTAAACCACGTGGGAGGTGACTGTCCATCTTTCTTGCACTGGGCTACAGGAGCATTTGAAATGATAAAGAGGCACCACCTTAGAGTGAGCAGCACAACTGGATACAAACTGTGCCACTACATTCCTTTCTAAGAGAAAATTTACAAACGCCAAGACAGACTGAGTTTCTGTGTACTGAATTATCGTGTGGCACTTTGAATTTTTTATCTTGTGTATGTTCAGGGAACTTTGGTGGCTTACTGGTAAGGAATTGTGCTATCAACACAAAAGTACATGGTTCGAATCCACCAGCTGCTCCATGGGAGAAAGATGAGTAATCTCCTCCCATGTGATTTACCAACTCTGCAAACTCGCTGGCTGGAGGGTCAGTTATGGGTTGGTTCTGACTTCATAGTATACAACAACTACCAGATGCATATCTGGGGGCTAAGAGGTAAGTAAGGACTATGAGAAAGGACACTAGAAATGGACAACAGAAAGGATAGAAAGAACTAAACTCCACTACAATGTACCACACAGTCTTCTTGACAACAATGAACTCTGTTCTTTAAAATCCAAAATTTCAATTTTTGATGAAGATTATAACAAATCAGCTCAAAGGATGACCATCAAAACACAAACAAAAAGCTTTCTAGTCTGAACCAACTCAGAGCTGACCCGTCACCAGGTTTCCGTTGTTCTTAGGTGCCACTGAGTCAACTACAAGCCCAGTGACCCTATCAACAATGGATCTGAACCTTGCCCTATCTTACACCATCCTCATCTCTGACATACCTGAGTCCACTGTTAGTCACACATCGAATCATCTTCTTGAAGGTCTTCTTCTGAGCCTCCAACTTTCCCAACATGAGGACTGGAGTCTCCTAACATGCCCAAAATATGTGAGATACATGTCACCATCCTGGCCTCTAGGAAGCACCCACCGTGCACCTTCTCCAAGACATATTTGTTTGTTCTTTTGGCAGTCCTTGGCATATTCAGTACTCTTCCCCAACATCACAACTCAAAGGCATCCATTCTTCTGTCATCCTGATTTACTGTCCGGAGAGACCATGGCTTGAGTCAGGTGCACCTTAGTCTGTGACTGGTTTCTGGAAGACTGTACACTACAGGAGGAGACTGCTCACCTTACCCCCAGAGGACCACCAATGTGGTTGGGCTGTGTGTCGTCGCAGTCAAACCGACTCATAGCTGACCCTCTAGTGGATTTTCAGAGGCAGTAAATCACATCGCACAGGAGGAGAAGGCCTAGTCTTCCCACCACAGCAGCTGGTGGATTCGAACCGTGTGCCTTATAGTGCAGTTTCTTGCCACTAGGCCACAGAGTTCCCTGAAGAGGTTACTCATAAAAATAAAAAAAAGGAAAATGGATAATTTGCTACAGAAGGCTGGAGTCACCATATTGATACCATCAGTCATTATCACTCTTGAAGGCCACACATGTTTGATAATGGCACTCAAGCTCAGCCAGGGAGAGAGATGGGGAGTCTCCACCGAGTACAGGCCATCGGAGGGCTGGGCCATGCTGAAGCACATGCCAAGCAAGACTCCTGAAAGACTCTCTCCACCTATGCTCAGGGTGCTGAGACCTTACTAAATCCACAGGCTACATAATACTGACTTTTCTTAAAAAAAAATTTTACTTGCTCAATGTCATCAAGTTAAATCCAACTCACAGCAACTTCCAGTGAGTTTGCAAGGTTGTAAATCTTAAGTGAAGGAAAGCAGTTTCTCCTTGGAGACGCTGATGGATTCCCACTGCCCAGACACGCAGCCTTTTGGTTAACAGTGTAACATGGTACGGACTACGGAGGCCCTTAAAATGACAGTTAGAGGAGCTTTATGGCTTTAACTTGCTGTTAAGAGGTGAAACATATGTTCCAGTCATAAAATCCACATGCTCAGCAGCATCACTGCAGTATATGGTCAGAGAACAAACAAATACGCACTCGACGGGAGGCCAGGATGGGGTTCCTACCTTTTCTCAAAAATTAAAAGACAAGCTCATTAACCATTTGAAAATCCTTCTACAGTGATTTTATTATAAATATGTTCTTTCGGAATAAGCACATACGACATTCAGGGTTATCTGCAAACTTGCTCTAAAGTAATAAAAGAGGAAAATGGAACCAGGAACCATTCGTAAGTGGAGTTAAATATCAAAGACACTCGCATGCCATGCTAAGTGCCAGAATGTTAACAGTGAATGTCACACAGAGTCACAATTCTCCTTAGCTTATTTGATTGAATAAGCTTTGAGTTTGGTAGCTAGCACTTGCTCTGGAACCTGAAATGCTCTTCTCAGTCTCAAGAAGTAAGGTAGGAAAAGAGTCAGACTTCAGACTTCAAGCTTCCATAAAAAAGACCTTGATTCTGAAGTTGTAACTTTCAGCTCTGGGAGCCTCAGCTGACTACTTGCTGGGAGTGATGTCAGAGTAATCCTTCAGCACGCCAGCCAAGTGTTCATTATGAGTCTTAAATCGTCGCTTTTTCTGTGAAGCAGGCTTTTTCCTTCTCTGAATAGGGGCCTGAAAAAGACAAGTTAAAAGTGTTAGCAACAATAGGTACCCAGGAGGGACAGCATGTTCTGAATTTACTACAAATGCCCAGAAACCAGCAGCAAAGCGATTAAGGGCTTTTGGTGGTGTTGTCCTGTGTTTTGCAGGAAGCCTCACAGAGCAGCCCATTCCCTGACACGTGCCCTACATCAGAGGCAATGGACAAGTCCACCAGAACGGACGGGTGCCCTGAATCTTATGAGATTTACTAGGCACTAAACTGAGAAAGGCAATAAAGCTCTTTGTTGTCTCCTTTTGTCAGCAAGCTTAAAAACATCCATCAACCATTACTGATTAACAACAACAAAAAATGTCCAAAGTAAAGATGGCAAAACTGGAAAGTGAATGAATAAATGCAGGTTAGTTACATTATTCTTGACTGCTTTCCTAGTTACATGAAATCTTAGTATAAACTGATTTTTTTAAATCAACAAATAAACCAAGCAAAATTAGGAAATCGTCAACACTGCACTGCACTACCTCGTGGGTAGATCACTGGCAAGGAAAGTCAAGGCTCCCAAATCCACTGAGTAAAACACAAGCACCCACTCATAGAGAGAAGCCGGGAGCCACCATATCAGCAGGTTAAAAGCATGATGGTGCACAAAGGGATGGGGCAAGAACACAGCTGGGGTGCAGGGTGCTGGGAAGTGCCTCTCACCCCAGCTTTGCTCTTGGTCTGTACACAGCTGATCAGCCAACTTAAAAAAGGGAGTTCTCAAGTCTTCATTTGGTTACTGATTCCTACTAGTTTAGGGGCAATAAACACTGAAGTAAGTATCTGGTTCCTAGGAGACCTGAAAACCAGCAATTCACCATGATAGGGGCGATGACAGAGTCAGGCCTCAAATGCAGAAAACACAGTCAATGAACCTCACTGAGTGAGGGGAAGAGGAGCAAGATGAAGGCTACACAGGTTCCTTCTAGAAACCAGGAGAAGTACAGGGTAAGGATTAGAGGTGCAAGTGGGCACCAAGTGGGGACACCAAACACGCTGCTGGAGCTGCTGGGTAAAGGCCTGAATGGGGTGGGGTGGGGGTATATATGCCCATGCCCGCCAGGGAGGAACACCAAGGACAAATGAGACCCTTAGGGCCCCAGGACCAGACAGCATAACCAGAGCAGGACACGGAGGAAAGCTAGGAGGGGGAACAGACCAGATCCTGCCCTTCAGGGAGCAGAAGAGGAAGCAGATTAACAGCTCAAAGAAGATTAACATCGCCCCCCTCCCTGAGATTACATACCACTTTCTTTGGTCCTGATTCCTGCATGGAAGAAATACCCTGTCGCTTCAGATATTCTTCAATTTTCTCTTCATCCATTGAATCCACAGTGACACTCCTCCAAAGTTTCTGGAACTCTGTGCCCACAAGAGAGTAAAGGACAATACATTTTATAAGCTACAGCAACAAAGGGAGATCACATTTGGTTCTTAATAAATGCATCCTAGATTTCATCATTATAAAAATAAAGGAAACAAAACAAGAACATTCAACTGTTAGATTCTTGAGTAGCAGAAGGGCCTGGGAACACAAAGTGGCCACACCCAGAGTGCTGCTTCAATGCACTCAATGAAGGCCAGTGTGGCCCCAGCCTCTGCCTTCCTGGGGAAGAAAAGCAACGACACAGTTTATTCCAGCAATCAATTAATAATCAGTTTGCTCCATTTTGGGCAAATCCCTGATCATCTCTCCTCATTTCAGTTATTCTACTTTTTCTCCTATGTCAAGAGTAAGGTGGTACACAGTTTCTTTTCAAGAGACCTTTAAAGTCACATAACCTAAAATGGAGGAATGGGAAATTAATAGTCTTAAAAAGAAGGAAGGGATAGATGGTGATGGAAAGGAGAAAGGTCTGTACTCCATTTCTCCCTCCTCAGAGGCATGAGGGCTTGTGCCACATACTATTTATACAACCAAGAGATCACAACGGTACGTGTCCAAAATGAAGTCACTTGCTTCGCACACTGTGCTACTGAAGGAGTCCTGGTGGTATAATGGGTAAACATATGGTTGATAATGGAACTGTTGGTGGTGGTTGGAAGGCCCCGGCTGTCCCAGGATACAATGACTTGGGGCTCTTTTCTAGTAAAGCCAAGAGAACTCTATGAGGCAGGCGGTGCTATTCTGTCACATGTGAGGTGGCTGTGAGTCAGAAATGGACTCAAGCGCACCTAAAAACAACTATTCTATCAACACTTTAAAACACACATATGAAAAACAAAAACAAAAACAAACAACACCCAATAATGTCAAAATTATAACCCTGGTGTGAAAAGGGGGGGGGGGATGGGGGATGTTCCATGGAGGTAGATAAGCTGGGCCCCCTGCTCCCACGGCCATCACCCACCCAGAAAGTGCCTTCCTATCCCATGAGTCTCCTTGGCTCTCCAGAATGCTTTATCAAGGCAGTGACTGGTACCGCCCCACCGCCTTCATTCCAGGGCCATGAAGTTTTACCTACGCTGTCAGCACATTCAAGTCCACAAACTATAAATAAAGTAGGCCCCACCCTTTGCCAAGCCAGATCTTTCCCACTATTTCTTCTTCTTCTTCTCCTCCTTTCTTTCTTCCTTATCTTACTACCTATTACATGAAAAAAAATGATGCTCCAGTTAGGACTCAGATGATAACAGATGGCAACTAACTGCAAAAAATGACATAGTCCACTACAAAATTACATGGGTACAATGTTACTTTAATCCAAAATATCTCTTAAAAATTCTTAAATATTCATAGATACCAAGGGCTCACTGTCTCTGACCATTCATCTGTAGGCAGTGGAAAAAAAACTATTCAACTTGGGTGACAAGTTTCCGTGATTCTGCTATTATCTAGGATGGCTACCTGCTCCTTGAGATCAGCAAATCCTGGACCTCTACCAGTTTCCTATCCACTGTCTAGGGCATGGTTCCATGCACCTGACAGACAGCTCCAAAGTAATGCTTGAATCCAACAGTCAGAGTATTTTCTTTTTAAATTTTTAAAACTTGTATTGAAAAAATCATTTTAAAGAGAGAACTCTGGTGGCAGAGTTCTTAGCAGATTTTAGCCCAAAGACAGTGCATCTCTGGAAATTCGAACCCAACAGTGACTCTTCAGGAGAAAGATGGGCAATCTTTTCCTACGTGATTTACAGCGCTGGAAACCCAATGGAGGTGTCAGAGGACTGGGTTCTGACGTGATGACAATGAATGAGACAGCTTTATGTAAATTTTACCATTGTCCCACCAATGTCCTTTTTGTGCCTTTAGTCTTCATGTCTCCTTGGTCTCTAACCTGTAAGAATGCCTCCATCTGTCTCGTTCCCACGACCAGGACTATTTTAAAGAATTGCTGTTGTTGTTGATTGCCTTCAAGTTGAGAACAGACTCATAGGAACCTTATGAACAAAAGGCCTGAAGGCTTTCTATAACTATTGTCATTTATCAAAGTTCATATTTTCCAGAGGCATGTTGTTTAGGAAGTGGATGCCATTCCTGCTTCCAAATATTGATGGTCATTTTGATGTCCTACAGTTTAGTTTGTCTGATTTTTCTTAATGACCAGATGGAAGTTGGTACTTTTTGGCAGAGTATCACAAAAGAAAGGCTATGTTGTGTTTCTCAGTCATAATTCAAGGACACAGGACACCGAGATATCTTATTACTAGTCAATGGGGCTCTGACTGTACATGAAGGCGATGTCTGTCAGGTTTCTCCACTGCACACTTGGTATTTTTCCCAATTAATTAGCAAGTATCTCGGAAGGAAATATTTTGAGACTGTCTATCTTCTTCCTCATCATACTTTTATTAACTTATTTCCAAGCTTGATCATGTTTACAGGTATGAGTTCAAGTTTCAACATCCCTTTCTCACTCCCTCACTGCCGTCAAGTCAGAAAAGACTCATAGCTGACCCTGCAGGAGGTCTTCTGATGCTGTAAATGGCACAGAAGATAGCACAACTTCCTCCCGAGCTACTTGGTAGATCTAAACCGCCAGAGAGGTGCACAGTGATTGGCCTAACAGTACAAGTTCCTATGGTCTCAGCCGTCAAAGCTGTGTGCCCAGAAATATATCTTTCTAAGGGACACAAACAATCCAGAAACATCTTCTAAGGGGGCACAAACCCACTCTTAACTGTGGATCTCCTAGGATTTATATCTTTGGCTAATTAAGCCAATTTTATCACTTCACAGCTATACTCTGTCAAACTATTGTCATATACTTTTATGTAGATTATAAACACAAAAATAAATTTTGCCCTAATTTAATCACTTATCTTTCAGAAAAATTTAAAGTCATAAACACAGAGCAAGTCAAACAAACACCTCAATTTGTTATGTGCCATCAAGTTGCCTGTGACTCACATATGTGTGTGTGTGTGTGTGTGTGTGTGTATATATATATCTTCAAGTTACAGTTTAGTGTCACATCCTTCTGTCTAAAAACTTTAATACTTTTGGTATTACAGGTCAAAGGGTATTAAATTTTGAGAGTATTTCTCTTATTTTTGTTTCTCTGAAAGTATTTCTCTCCCTCATTTTTGAAAGACTACTCTTTCCAGGTATAGAATTTTGGATTAAAAAGTTTTTCTTTTTTGGCCCTTCAAGATGTCACCCCATTGTTCTGATATACACAGTCCAAGAAGTCTGCTGTGATTCTTTGTACCTCTGGATGTAGAGAATCTTCTTGCTTTTCTCTTCACTTTCAGTTTTCAGGACTTTGAGATGTTTTTCTGATGGTTTTTATTTGGCTTATGGGAGTTTTGGGGTTTTTAAAAAAAGGTTATTCTATATCATGTTCTCTAAGCTTCTTGGTAGTTTGGTTATAAATCAATTTATAAACAATTCTGAAAATCTCTAGCTGCTGTTGCTTCAAACATTTGTCTCCTTTTCTCATATCTCCTGAGACTTACATACTATCTAGGTATACAGGTAATTTGATATCACCCCCATAGTTTATAGGTAATCTATATTTTCCCCATTTCTTTTTTTTCTCTTGGTAGTTTGTTGTTGTTATGTGCCGTCGAGTCACCTGCGACTCATAGCGACCCTATGTACAACAGCCCTAAACTCTGCTCTGTCCTGTATGCACTAGTTTATCTTCCAGTCTGGAGTTCTGGTGGTCTAGTGGTAAAGAGATGCACAGACGGTTCAAATTCAACAGCTGCTTCAAGGGAAAAAGATGGGCAATGTCCTCCTGAAAACCCACTAGAGGGTCAGATATAAGCTGGTCCCGAACTGATGTTACATAACAACATCCTCAAGTTCAGGGGCAATGGTGGGTTTCAGTGGAGATCTGTGTTTGATTAGAAAAGTGAGGTTACCAATCATTGGCCACTGGAAGCTTGCATAGTGCTATGATGATGAAGACGTTCCAGTAGAGGCTCCAGATCAAGACAGACCAGGAAGAAAGGACTGTCAACCTACTTTCAAAATTCAGCCAGTGAAAATCTTACGGATCTCAAGTCAGGTTGTGTGTGGGCTGTTATGCATCTCAGGCCAATTCATCAAGTTCACAGATTCTTTTCGTAGCTCTGTCTAGTTTATAATAAGTATATTTATTTACCTCTGCTACTGTGCTCCTTCTGGAGGCACGGTAGGTTTGTGGACTCCGAGCACGTGTGCTGGTTCTTTGGGGCCCACGAGGGGGTTGGCAGAGCAGACTACCCAGATGAATGGGGGTCTGGGGAAGGGAGTTTCCCAGCAATTGGGCATGCCGGGCTGCTAAGACACTGAAAGGTCAAACCCGCCTAGGGTCTTCAGATATTTAATGCCAACTGAATCAAACCAGTCTCTGACTTCTGGAGGAGCAGCAGGTTTGAGGACTCCGAGCACGTGTGGTGATTCTTTGGGGCCCACAAGGGGGTTGGCAGAGCAGACCAGCCAGATGAATGGGGGTCTGTGGCAGTCTTTCATTGTTTTTGTTCACACATTCCTCTAGGTCATATAGCCCTGGTGTACAAGTTGCCATACCGCAGTCACTTGTGGTTGCTGTGAGACTGAACACTGTGACACTGATGTGTCAAATGCGTTAATGGCCAATGTGGACAGAGAGTGGGGTGGAGCTCCCCGATTGAACAAGCGTGGAAGGAGGAGTGGCATCCACTTCCGTAATAGCTTGCCTCCGGAAACCCTATGAACCTGGAAAGAGGATGAAAGGCACCCAAGCGTCGAGGACTCTCCTTCATAGGGTCGCTATGAGTTGTCTGCGACTAGACAGCACTTAACAACAACAACTGTGCTCCTTGGAGTCAAGGATTCTGAAGCTTCGTCTGACATACTTTGGGCATGTTGCAAGAAGGGACTAGTCCTTGGAGAGGGACATCATGTTTGGGAGAGTGGAGGGATAGTGCAAGAGAGGAAGACTTTCAATG